GTGTGTGTGTGTGTGTGTGTGTGTGTGTGTGTGTGTGTGTGTGTGTGGTTTGAGACACGGTCTCCTGTAGCTGAGGATGACCTTGAACTCCTGACCTTCCTGCCTCCACCTTCCAGGTGCTGAGACTATAGGCCTGTGCTACTTACTGTTTTCTCAGTTTCTTTTTGTAATTTGTGTTTCTCCTTAATCCTGGGGCCTAAGTGTAGTAGGCTGGCTTGGGGCTGTAGTGGCCTATCCAGGACAACTATCAATCACAGCCTTCCACCACCCTAGCAAAACTCAGAGCCCCCAGGACCAAGCCCATGTGAGCTCTGTGTCTCTTGCCTTCTCTACCACTTCTAACCAGTACCAGAGTAGGAGCTCAGGATGTGCTGGGTGGGTGGGCAACTGGAGAAAATGCAATGCTGTCTGTTCCCAGGGTAGCATCCACAGAGTCCAGGATTATTGGTAGGAATAGCCTGAACTCTGGTACCCAGGTTCCTGGGTTCAAATCCCAGCTTATACCTTGTGGCCTCTATAACCCAGGACATGGCCTCTGCCTCTCTGGCCTCAATTTTCCCATATGTAGAATGGGGACGGTGAATACACTTGCCTGAGCACTGAAAGGGATGGCTCATTAATTAGATCATTATAAGAATGATCGTATATAGCATATAGTAAGCCACACACAGGAGGCTGGTTCTCTTCCTTTTTCCTTTTTTAAAAACGTATCCACGGAGGTGTGGCATTCATAAGAAAAAGCCAGAGTGGAAGCTTCTGGGGAGAGTGGATAGACTTCTTGTCCAGCGTCTGCTTCCATGGAGGCGTTCTGCCTGACCATCCATTTAGTTTCAAGGGGGACCACTGATATGATAGAAATGCTGGGTACCAGGGACCAGTGAAGTGGAGCTGGGCCCTGGGAACCCAGGAAGTGCACAGATGGGCAGGAAGCAACACCCTGGCCTGCCCGCTGCAAAGCCTACTGCAACAAATCCTGATTTTCTCTTCCACGATTCTACTTTGGCATTTTATCCTGAAAACCTTACTTTCCTTTCATTACTATTATTTTAAGATATATCGGCCGGGCGGTGGTGGCACATGCCTTTAATCCCAGCACTTGGGAGGCAGAGGCAGGCGGATTTCTGAGTTCGAGGCCAGCCTGGTCTACAGAGTGAGTTCCAGGACAGCCAGGGCTACACAGAGAAACCCTGTCTCGAAAAACCAAAAACAAAAAACAAAAGAGAAAGATTTATCTTTGTGTGTGTGTGTGTGTGTGTGTGTGTGTGCATGTGTGTGTGTGTGTGTGTAGTGTAAGGGTGTACACAGAGGAATAAGAGAGTTGTATACCTTGGAACTGGGGTTACAAGCTTCCTGAAGTGGATGTGAGGAGCTGAACTCTGGAAGAGCAGCAGATGCTCTTCATTGCTTAGCCATCTCTCCAGCCCCCTTATTATTTTTTAAAACAGGGTTTCATGTAGCCTGAGCTGACCTCTGACTCATCACTCGGAGGCTGACTTTGAACTCCTGATGCTCCTGCCTCTAAGCATCACGGGCCTGCCCCTCCATGCATGGTTTATGGAATTGTGAGTTACAGGCTGCACCTTTAAAATCCTACCCTGCCTTCCCTGCTAATCTAAACTTCCTAGGTCTTCCCTCTCCCTCCAGCTGCCAGGCCCCAGGGACACAGATTGACTTTATTATTAATCCAAGCCAAACACGATTTGGGAAAATCTGCTGCTGTGAGAGAGATTAATCTCTAGGCTGTGGTTGTGAGTGAAAGTGATGTTTAGATTGCCTTCTGCCTGAGACAGTCAGCCCACTCTCCATGTCCTGAGGTAAACTATAGCCAACCCTATTTGCATGACTGGAAGGCAGAAAAACCCTCACTGCTTTGGCAAAGGTGACTAACTCCCAGCTGCCTTGATCTCGGCCAACTCTGGGGGAAGATTCCCACCCTCTGCCCCTGCTAGGGACATCTGGAGAGACAGGTGCTGATGATGTCGTCCATGGAAACAGGCAGGATGAGGATGTGGGCATCTCCCTCCCAAGAGTCGTCAGAGTTAGTGGGTGAGTGAGCAGAAGCAAGGTTACTTGAAGGTTCAGCTTGTTCCTTGGCTGGTTAAGTATCTTCCCTTGGCTTGGACTTCAGGGAATCTCTCTTTTGTTTCCAGACCCGTTCGATTAAAGAAAAAAAAAAATCCACTCCCCGAGTTCAAGGTCTTTCTTGGCTTTATCTTCAATTAGGAAGTCTTCCATGCAGTATTGTTGTAAGCCCTGAGAGAGATAGGGAAGTTTTATTTGCCTGTTGGTTTATTGGTTGGTTGGTTTGTTTTGATGCTGAGAACTAGAACTCAGGGCCTCCTCACACAAGTTCTGTCTACCACCAAGTTATGACGTTAGCCCCAATAGACAGTTTTATGGACAGCAAAGGACCAAGGAAAGCAGGAACAAGCCACAAAATGAGGCTTCCTCTTTTCAGAGTTCTCTTTCTTGTAAAAGAAAAGTGATACTTTTTATCCTTTTGGATAAGCATTGGAAAAGAAGGGCCACATGATCACCCTGCTTGAAAATGTCCCGTTTCGGAGGAAATCTGGCTGTTCTCACTCATGCTGAGTTGTAGCGTGAGTGACTCCATTTTGATTTCCAGTCTGGCCCAGTGCAGGACTCAGGTTCAATTTCCAGTCCAAAGCAGTGACCCTGTGTCCTGTTCCTATAATAATGGCAGCACGGGGGTTCTCAGACTCACAAAAACAGACTCTCCCAGGGAAGTAGCCTGGGAGGTTTACAGTCTAACAAACTTAGCAGGCAAGTCTAAGGAACACTGCTCCCATGGGGAAGGTTTGGTGCTTATGTGTACCCCAGAATCTTTCAAAGGGCCTGAGGAAGCTGAACTGGAGCCCAGGGATTAGCATGTCTAGCCTATTGCTGGGCAAAGCTGCCACTGCTGGCCTGGGAGCCAAACTAGAGAACCACTACTCTCAGGCCGCCTTGCTCTGTAGTCCAAGCTTTGATGGGTAGACGGTCCTGTGTGTTGAAGCTGGCCCATGCATTGTGGGATGTTTACCTGGCTTCGTTGCATTCATTCATAGCATTCGTTCCATCCCCAATCCTACCCCAGCTGTGAGAACTGGATCATCATTAGATATTGTAGGTATAGCTGAGAGGTCTCCTCTCATGGAGATACACATGGTTACCTAAAGTGCCTCATTCCTGTTTCTCCTCATCCTACCCCGAGTGGCATGATCTCTGTTGAGTGTGACTTACACCTCGAAAACGCCCCTCGGAAACATCCCTGGGGTCAGGAGGTTCTGATCCCGGAGTCAGCAGTCCAGCAGCAGCCATGACTTGTTAAGAAATGCAGACTCTCAGGGCTGGAGAGGTGGACGAATGGCTAAGAGCACTGGCTGCTCGTGCAGACGGCTCAGGTGCTAATTCTCAACACCCACATGGTAGCTCACAACCAGGAGATCTGATGCCCTCATCTGACCTTTGCAGACCAGGAATGACAAACATACACGCACACAGAACATTCCAAAGCATAAAATAAATCTAAAATCATTTTTTAGAAGAAAAGGAAATATTGTCAAGGGTCCCTGGTGCTTTGGGCACAGAAGGAGATAGAAGAATTCCTGTGTTTTCGCCTGGGACAGTGGTTATCAACCTGTGGGTCTCAATTCCTTTGGGTTAGCATACCAGATATCCTGCATGTCAGATATTTCCACTATGGTTCATAACAGTGGCAACATTACAGTTATGAAGTAGCAATGAAAATAATGTTATGGTTGGGGGGGGGGGGTCTCCACAACATGAGGAACTGTACTACAAGGTCACAGTTTTAGGAAGGGTGTGTCACACGCCCTAGGAATGTGACTGGATCTGCAGAGCTTGCACACAGCTTCTTCCACTCTGGAATTGTCAAAGCAACACCTTAAAACTATTGGTGACACTTTTAAAAACTTGATTTTCTGTTTTGTCTACCTTACCTCAAAACAGAAAAAAAAAAAAATCTCGGTGCCTGTGGCCTGATTGGGATGTTTTGTTTTGTTTTGTTGTTTTTTGTTTTTTTTTTGAGACAGGGTTTCTCTGTATAGCCCTGGCTGTCCTGGAACTCACTCTGTAGACCAGGCTGGCCTCAAACTCAGAAAACCACCTGCCTCTGCCTCTCAAGTGCTGGGATTAAAGGCATGCACCACCACTGCCCAGCCTGATTGGGGTTTTTTAACTCCCTAAATTATAAAACCCTGGTAGAAAGGGTCTCACTGAATTTTTTTAGGTCCATTTTTCAAGTGGGGAAACAGAGGCTGGGAGAGGGTAGAAGACGTCAGCTAGCTAGACGTGGTGTTGCAACTCTTTAATCTCAGCATTCTGCAGCACAGGCAGGCAGATTTTTGTGAGTTCATGCACACATCCTCCTGCATGTTCAGGATCTCAGTTGGGTTACTTGCAATAACTAATGCAATGTAACCTTGCAGGTAGTTGCTTCATTGCCTCCGGGTGCGGTGGCACACACATACAATCCAGCTCTCTGAAGGCTGACACCCAAAGGTCCTTTTGGGTTGGAGTCCAGCCCGATTACATAGGGAGTTCTGGACTACAAAGTAAGACCCTGTCTAAATAAATAAGTAACAGAAACAAGAAGAAAACAAAAAAAGAACATAGTACTCAATATAGACATTTTTTAGAGGCTTTAATCCAAAGTTAGTTGAACTCATGGGTGCGGAACCAGCATACACACAGGGGAAAGTGGGCTGGATAGTGTCAGGGTGACCAGGTAGCGAGCTGTGCCCTCTAGTGACTGTTCCTTTTCTCTCCTCACAGTACTCTCCCAGCATGAGGGCCACCTACATGTCGGTGGCAGATGAACACCTGAGACACTACGAGTTTCCGTCCTAGGAACATCCAGGGTGCCTGCCTCTCCTGCCAGCTTGGTTTTCAGCGGATGCAGAACCCAGCTGTGTTTCTGGAATTGAAACCGAAGGTTTGGACATGAAACAGTCTCCTGTGGCTGCAGAGACACAGCTGGAACTTCTGACCAAAGCCACAGGTGGCTACAAGGCCTGTGAGTGGACCAGCCTCTCCGGCCTTAACTCCCCAGGACTTGGCTGTTCTCTCTGAGGCAGCAGCCCCGTTCAGCCCACCTTAATCCCACCCTCAGCAGATGAGAAATGGCAGTGAGGAGGGAACCACCAGCCTGAGAGCCCTTTTCTCTCAAGGGCCTGCCACCAGGCCCCTGCCTCTTGTTAGCGTGGCCCTAAGTCCAGGCCATTCCTTCCAGTTACCCTGTCCTAGATTTCTAGGCAGGTGGCAATTGGATGTGTGTCAGGAGAACACCTGGTCCAGAATCCACATTCTGTGACCACAGGGACTCTGCCTAGACCCCAGAAGGACAGCATCAAGAGAACTCCGCAGAGCAGATTGATGGCTTCAAGCTGAGCACTGCAGCCTGGCAGCCATGGCCAGACATATGGGAGAAAGCCCTCCGAGCTCTCTAACCTCCACCAGCTACCCCCATTCTGGAACCAGGTGCCAGCTGCGGGTGGGAACAGTCTCAGGTATGAACAGATGCTTTGAAAGCAACTCAACTCCTGTTCCCAGTGTTTTAAAACATGGTGATGATCCAAAGACTCAAGCCTCCCTCACAGGCACGGCCAGTTCTTGCAATAGACTCAGGCTCGGGTTTTACACCTGGTGCTCTGCTGTAGCGCTCACACAAGCCATCTCACAGATCTGGAGGAGAAGCTGAGGAGTGGGTTGTGGGATTTTTGGATTTTGTTTTGCTGCGGTCTCATTATATACCCTGACAGGCCCTGGCCTAGAACTCACAGAGATCTGTGTGCCTCTGCCTCCAAAGTACTGGGTTTAAAGGTATGTGCTACCACACCACACCAGGCCGGGAGCAGGTTTGTCTTGATTTCTTGAGACAGGGTTTCTCTGTGTAGACCTGCCTGGCTTGTCCTGGAACTCATTCTGTAGACCAGATAGACTAACCTCAAATTCAGAGATCCATTCACCCACCTCTCCCTTGTGAGTGCCGGGATTGAAGGCGTGCACCATGATGCCACATCCTGGTTTTTTGTTTTTTGGTTTTTTAATAAAATAAAACATTGGTGAGACATTCTACCCCACATGGCTAGAGGAGGCTATCTGGACCTTGTAAAGGGAAAGACATGATAACTAAGAAGGCTGAGGGAATTTCTCTATTCTGAGGAACAGTTATTTCTGGCTAGGAGAAAATAATGACCCCTGGCCAGCCTGCCGGGGGACCAGGTTAGGGGTCTTTGGTGCTTCCAACCTCCAGCCAACCCAGAGTACACTACACACTGAAGCCCCGTGGCCTTGTACAGCTAAGCAAGGCCCGGCTGATGGTGTGGGACAGGGCTGTTTCAATTTCAGAAGAGCCACGTCATCATAATGGCAGCTTCCAGACAAGCCACCGGTGTCACTGTGTCTCATATTAACCTGCGCATACTGTGAGCTACCTTTGTATGCCCATGCCCTGTGCAGACTGGGAACTTCGGCCTCAGGCCTTGCTTCTGATATTTCCTCTGCAGCAGTGGAAGGACTTCTTAATGCATGTACATTAAACTAAAACTCCTCCAGGTTCTACGAGTGTCAGGTGGGCAAACCTCTGCTTGATATATGTTCGCCCTCACCTGAGCCAAGAAATAAACCACGTCTCTTAATGTGCGCAGCTGACTGAGTCACTTAACTTGCTAAGCTCTGAGGGCTAGCAACAGTGCATGCCCTCTCCACGGAGGTCTCGGGGTGAGGAATTACAAGAGACTCCTCCAGAAGCAGTGTTGGATTTCAGTGAGAAATGGGATAGGGGTTATGAGGCGGATGGATAGGTGGCTCAGCAGGTAAGTACTTGCTCTTCCAGAGGAAGAGCACTCATACTAAGCACCTCCATATAATCATCTGCAGCTCCATCTGGGGTTGGGGGGGCACTGTCCTTCTTCGAGGACAACCACATGTACATGGCATACACACAGAGAGACATATATAGAAACTAAGAAGCAAATCTTGGGGCTGTAGAGATGGCTCAGTTGTCCAGAGCACTTACGGGTTTTGCTGAAGACTCAGGTTCAGTTCCCAGCCCTCCCATGGTGGCTCGCAAGCATCTGACCCTTCAGTTCCAGAGATTCTGAAGCCCTCTTCTGACCTCCGTGTATGATGCACACACACAAAGGAAAACACTCACAGGTCTCATTATGTGGCCTTGGTTGACCTGGAACTCATTGTGTAGACCAGGCTAGCCTAGGACTCACCGAGATCTGCCCACCTCTATATTCCAAATGCTGGGACTAAAATCCACCATAAAACGTATTTTTTGTTTTGTTTGAGACAGGCAGCCCCAGTAACCTCTGCCTTCTTAATGCTGGGACTAAAGGTATGTACTATTATACCTGGCTATACAATTTTTTTTTTAAAAAGAAGGAATTATTGGGCTGGAGAGATGGCCTAGTGGTCACGAGCAGGCTGGAGAGATGGCCTAGTGGTCACGAGCACTGACTGTTCTTCCAGAGGTCCTGAGTTCAAGTCCCAGCAACCACATGGAGGCTTAACAACCATCTGTAATGGGATCAGATGCCCTCTTCTGGTGTGTCCGAAGACAGCTACAGTATACTCATATATATAAAATGAATATGAGTTTTTATAAATTTTTTTTAAAGAGGAAGCTCTGAGTGAATGTCCCAGGTCACAGGTACCTGTGATGGGGTTTCTCACTGGGCTGCAGCCAGCAACCCCCAGAAATAATCCTGTTCCCCTCACTGAAGTTACAGGCATGTACCTATCACACCCAGCTTTTAAAACATTATTTATTTATTTTTATTTATATGAGTACACTGTAGCTGTCTTCAGACACACCAGAAGAGGGCATCAGATCCCATTACAGATATGAGCCACTATGTGGTTGCTGGGAATTGAACTCAGGACCTCTGGAAGAACAGTCAGTGCTTTTAACCACTGAGCCATCTCTTTAGCCCCACACTCAGCTCTTTATATGAGTGCTGGGCATTTGAACTCAGCTCCTCATGCTTGCATGGCCAAAGCTCTGATCCGTGGAGGCACCCCTCATCTCTGCCTGGCGCTCCTCTCACAGAACCTGAGCTAGGCCCATTTCTACTCTGGGCTTTCCCCAAAGTTCCTTCTGAAGGTCATTCATTTCTCCTTAGGCTGCTAATAAGTAAGTGTTCACCAGGAGCCAGCAATCTTGTCTGGTATGGATATTAATTTTGTATTAACCCTCAGTATAAATCTATAAGGCCATTTGTTTTGTAGATTAACAGATGCATCAAGGATCAGGGCCTGGCTGGTGTGAAGACATCATGGGATGTTTCACACAGAGCCCCAGGCCCTGAGCTGGGTGCCTCTGGGTGGGCATGGGGTAAGGCAGTGGTCAGGCGGGAGGTGCCCAGCCGTTCATGGGTTCATGCGGTATCCCTGAGTACCTTGCCTTACAGTCTGCTACTTGAGGCAGGGTTGCCTGAACACAACGTCTCTGGGGCAGCCCTTCGCTTCCCACCCCACCCCCAGTCCCAATTCCGGTGCCTCTCCACAAGCCAAGTGACTGTTCACACCCCTGTGCAGTTGAGCTTCCGGAAAATCATGGTGCTCCTGGGTAAGGTGCTGTATCCCTTGGGAGTGCTCGAGGGGAGACGCATATGCAGATGACGTCACCGGCTCATACGTGGTCACGTGCTCCTGTGGTTTTTTTTTTTTTTTTTTTTTTTTTCCCCTGGGCTCTGCCTGCCCTCAGGGAACCCACAGCCTTGGGGAGATGAGTAAGACCAGTGTGGGAACTCCCATAATTAGCCTGATTTTCAGAGAAAAGTGTAGCTCAGCACTGAGCAACATGTGGTGACGTGGGCTGTGGGGGGTCTCTGCAAACTAGATGAAACCTTTGTTGCAAAAGGTCTAGAAGAAACAGGAAGGTGAACACTGGAGAGGTGGCTCTGTGGTTAAGAGCACTGGCTGCTCTTCCAGAAGACCCTGGGGTTGATTCCCAGCACTCACAAGGGAGATTACAGAATCTGTAACTCTAGTTCTAAGAGATCCGAGATCTGATGTTCTCTTCTGGTCTCCCTGGGCACTGTGTGTCCAGGATGTGCAGAGGAAATGCAACCAGTACACCCCTACACAAAAGATAAACCTAAACTCTAGTTCTTTCATTAAAAATAACTAGGAAGGGTGACTCTGAGCAGCCTGATGAACTTCTGCTTTTCTTGACTCCTGCTTCAGACTGAACCCAGGCCTTGCTCATGCTAGGTGGCTACACTTCCAGCTCAGCGATGTCTCAGTCCCTCATACAGTGAGGCCTGCCATGTCCACTGACCAATATACTCAGATAAGAACTGTCCTTAACAGCCCCCATGAGAGCTTTGATTTGTGCCTCCTAACCCAAAGTTTAAATATTTGACTGCCCTTTTGTGTGTGTGTTTTGTTGTTGTTGGTTTTGTGTGTGTGTGTGTGTGTGTGTGTGTGTGTGTGTGTGTGTGTGTGGTTTTTCGAGACAGGGTTTCTCTGTGCAGCTCTGGCTGTCCTGGAACTCACTCTGTAGACCAGGCTGGCCTCGAACTCAGAAGTCCTCCTGCCTCTGCCTCCCAAGTGCTGGGATTAAAGGCGTGTGCCACCACTGCCTGGCTGGACCACCTTTTACTTTCTCTGAGGTCTAGTGTAGCAGAGGTATCTGGGCAGTCTTGGTCATGGTCCTGGGATGGAGTTTACAAGTTATCATGTAACAGCTCCTATTGCTTGGATATGGGGTTAGCATTTGTAGACAAGACTCCCACGCTCTTGTACTTCCTGTTTAGTCTGTTTTGTGGGAGTGTATGTGTGTGTGTGTGAGAGAGAGAGAGAGAGAGAGGACAGAGGGAGGAAAGAAAAAGAGAGGGGGAGGAGAAAGAGAGAGAGAGAGAGATGTTTGGTGGTTTGGGTTTGGGTTTTATTTTGAGACAGGGTTTCACTATTGAAACTAACCTGGAATTCACCATATAGACCAGGCTAGCCTGGAAATCAGAGATCTGTCTGCCTCTACCTCAAGAGTGCTGGGATCAAAAGGTACTCATCCTGGTCTAGTTCTGTTTGTTTGTTTTGAGATGGTCTTATGTAGTCCACGCTGGTCTCTAAATTTAGTTTGTAAGCCAAGGCTGACCTTGAACGTCTAATTCTCTTGTCTCTGCTTCAGAGATTTGGTATCAGTTTTCACTCGATTTCAAAATTAAAAAAAAAAAAACCAACAACAAAAACACAGAAGCAGAAGGTAATAGGGAATAGATATGATCAAAGTATATTTTATGAATGTTTGCAGACACCGTAAGAAAAGCCCTTACCCTGTACTATTGATTAGCACTAATAAAAAATTACTAGTTCAAAAAATCAGAAGTTCAAAGCTAGCCTGAGCTACATGAGACCTTGTCTTAAAAAAAAAAAAGAAAGAAAGAAAGAAAAGAAAAACGGATTGGGGGTGGAAAGGAAGCCCCAGTAATGGGCTAGGGACCGGCCTGGAGTTTGTGGGGCAGGGGCTGATCTAAGCAAAGAATTTCTGTTGTCAGTTGCACTGTGATTGGATGGAAATCTGAGAAGCTGGGGGTGGAAAACCAAACTAGGATCTCCTGAATGCTCCTAATTATATGACTTCATGCTGGCTGCCCAGGGCGGATGAGCTGAGCTTGCCAAGAGCGTAAGAGCTAAAAGCCAGAGAGTGAGTAGAGGAGCCAGTGGTGGTCTGAGTGAAGGGAGAGTGGAGTGGGGTAGGAGGTCAGGGATAAAAATCATTGTCGTAACAAAAACGACTGCAGTTTCCTCTCCAACTTCCCCCTTCTCCTTTTTTATGCGCACACACGGTGCATGCTCACACACACACACCTCGATTTCTCTACCCATGTGTCATTGGAGAGTCCCCCAGCTTGCAACCCCAGCCAGCCACGTTGCTCCCTCCTGGAACTGATTTGACTGAGTTACTCTGGTCCACACCGTGCCCCACCCCCACTCCGGGAGTCACTCCCCACTCCTTCCCCTGCATCTCAAAACCATTTCCTAGGGCCCAGTTCCAGCCCCAAATCCCACATCTTGGTGACTCATTCTTTGCCTGACTCTATCCAGATCTCCAGTGCCCACGCCTGGCCTGGGGTTCACCTCATTCTCTGGATCCCGCAGTGACACGCACAGTCCTGGCGCGGTCGGGGGGGGCGGGGCTGACAATGGGCTGGATTATCTTCTGTGTCTGATCGCATATTCTCCCCCATGATCCTGATCTCCCCACTGTTCTACTGTGAAGATGGAGAAAGGTAAGTCTCAAAAATGGAAAGTAGAGGCTGAGATGTAGTTCAGGGGTAGAACTCTATCAAACACAAGGCCCTGTTCAATCCCAATCCTGAAGGGCTGTCTCAAGTCACTGTTCGATTGCTGCGAAGAGACACCACAACCAAGGCAACTCTTATACAAGAAAGCTTTTAATTGGGGGAGGGGGTTGCTTATAGTTTCAGAGGGTTAGTCCATTATCATTATGGAGGGAAGCATGGTGTTACATAGGCAGACACGATGCTGGAAAAGTAGCTGGGGGCTACATCCTGATTCACAGGCAGCAGGAAGAGAGAGACACTGGGTCTGGTGTGAGCTTTTAAAGCCTCCAAGACCACTCCCAGTAACACACCTCAGGAGTGCTGGAATCAAAAGGTACTCAAC